AGACGTCATTCTACTGAATCAACTCAAATGCCCAATCAGTATCAGGGGGCTCATAGTCGAAGTCAACTGGGATATGAACTGTACTCTAATCCTAATGACTATTCTCAAGTGGGGAACAAGCCTAGGGGGTAATCATTGAAAATGAGTGGATCCCTAAAACCATGAATTTAACCATCCTATCCAAAAACAATGAATTTAACCATCCTATCCATAAAGGAAAATAAAAATTAGATCAACTTATAGCTTCCCTAAATAATTCCCAATCAAATTATTATTCGTCTCACAAAAGTTGTTAAAATTTTTTTATTTATTTTATTGTATAAAGTTTTTGTTAGTAAGAATGACTGTCTCAACTTAACTATTTTTATTTCCTTCATTTTCAATCTAAAATGTGTTAAATTTATAATGAAATTAAAAAGAGCTACTATAAATGGTTCAATTTCAGCATAAAACTGATTATTATTATAGGAAGCTTAACTATTACACAATATGAACTATTCTTATTTGTAAGAACTGTTAATACATTTATTTAATACATCATTTTTACTTTCTTTTTTTTTTTTTTTTTTTTTTTTCATCTTGGTTTTGAAAATTTTTGTGTTTTTATTTATTTTTTTTTACCCCAAAAATAAATATCCTTTTTTTTTTTTTTTTTTTTTTTTTTTTTTTTTTTTTTACTTCATCATTGATTTGCAAAGCTTTGTGCTTTTAACTAGCTTTATTTACACCATAAATAAATATCCCTTTTCCCTTACGTCTACTCCAGTTTGAACCTCCTGTATTTTAACATCCAAAAAGGTTTTCATGTACGATTTCATCCCATTTAATTACTGCTTCAAGCCCCTATATCATCTAAAAAAAACAAATATAAAAAATAATAATAATAAATGATACTATCAAAATCATCCTATCCGATCACATGACAGTAAAGTTTAAAGAAATAAACTATTTTTCTTCAATGAAATCCTAACAATGGAATTCATTGTATGCCTTATAGTAATGGGTATGAGAATTTCAAGCAATTAAAATATATTTAAAATATATTTATTTTAAAAAAATATGCAATTAGAAATTTAAAATAATATGATAGTCTAATATTTACATCTCCCCATAATCTTTACACAATAATTCATTTTATTTAACACCCCCGCCTATCTTTGCTAATTTTAAAATAAATCTTCCTATAGCTTTAAACTCATGATTAGCCTTTATTAATATATCTTTAATTAAATCCCTTCTGGCACTACATTTTTTTTACCTCCAAATTTAAAAGTATACATCTTTAACTACATACAGGCATTAGAAAAATAAATTCCTATTCATGAATAAACTAGGTTATTATATTATAGAATTACTTGGAAAAGAAACAATTTATCATTGAAAGATTACTTAGTCTCATAATGGCTGAACTCTGCTCTGTTTGTTTAACAGGACAAACGTATATCAATGAAAGACCTGTACATCCAGCTGAATGATTATCCAGATATTGATACAGCAGCTCCCCCACCTCTACCACCACGCCCTCCAGTTAAAACGTCCAAAACAATCGCTACAAAAGCTGGCAGACCAGAACCACCGGCTGCAAGTAAAAAAACTCCTCCACCTGTTGCAGCCAAATCAAAACAAGGATCTTTTAAAAACCAATTTTTGAACTGATCATATGGTGTTATTTCCTGGAATTTCTATGTTTCAGAGAAAAGCTGAGAGAAGGAACCACAAAGATTTTCTGTGTACCATTTGGGAGTGTGCATCATTTATGGTGCTTTCTAAGAAGCAATATCTGTGATATTCCGATATGGCCTACTGGGTTGCTTGAGATAACTGCACAATGTTGTTGTACAAAACGTGGAGTATCATAATGACAGACATTAAGTACATATAAAGAAGGCAATGCAAAATAACATGTGCTTGTGATTTACATGTTTTGAATTCCAAATCGTAATATTGTTATAAGTTGGTCTACAAAGAATTGGAGCATTCATTGAAAGGGCCAGCATTGTGTGAAAAATGAACTAATAATAATTCATCACATATTTTGCATCAAAATGGAATTAGTTATCATATTCTGATTCTCTTATTTTTCCATGTCATCATTTGAAATTCATGATTCAACATTGGGAAACCACAACCATGAAGAATTGTTTACATAATATTGATAAGGTATACATAAATTTTTTACCATTTTTAATTGATTTCTTTACAAAATTAAAATATTAATCACAACCAATGTCCATGATATTTAGTGATATTTTTTTAATATAAATAATCAACAAAATTTATTTAAAATAATAAAATTTATTTCGTCATATTGTGGAAATATATACTTAAGCAATGTTTTTCTGAACTTTCCAAAGTTTTTTTCCATTTTTCTCCAAATGTCAAGTGAAGTTGTAAATTATTTGTACATATGTTTATATATTAGACTACCAGGTGCTTTAGGAGTTAGTTATTTCTACTTCTATTAACAGACCATATGTGAGGATCTGTTGTTGATAATTTTATGTAAGTTATTTTGCCATTGTATATATTTTTAATTATTACAATAATTATAGAAGGTTAAAAATTTCCTGCAATAAAAATACAATTAAATAATATTCATTTTTCTGTAAAGTGATTCATTAGACTGAAGTTCATATACAAAATGATGTAGCCTACCTCATTTTTCAAAATAAAATTAATTATCTTTCAGATAATTTAATCCTAACTCCATTTCAAGTTTAAGATAGTAACTTATCTTAGTTTCTGATATAGGGTTTGTTATTTCTCTGACCTGAAAAGTCACAGCTCAGTACATAATGTTACTATTTTTATACAATGTTTAAAACATGGGTGCAAATAATCTATTTCAGCATATACATAGCAGTAACAATTCGTTTGTAAAAACTTTCATAAAATATACTTCTAAACAAGTTTTGGTCTTGGTTAAGAATCACTTTGCTGAGACGCATTAACGTGGAAGTACTGAAAAACTCTTGTGAGATTGCCCAGATGAAATGCTTAGATGTTCTATTAATATTTCCACCATTAAATGATATCAGTCAAACTGAATGCCTATATGTTCTATTAATAGAGTTACTCCATAGAATGACACATGCTATTACAGCTGAAGTGTCCATCATTTTACCTTAAAAAGTGGTGAACTAAAAATTAAAACTTCAAAAAGTAAATTCAATGTTTATGTTGACAATGATTATCAATATTTGAATGAAATGCTTTAATTATTAGATTTTAGATAAATGGTTTGATAATGACATGAATTTACATTAAAAACATCCGTGGAGGTAGTAACGAGGGAAGCATAGCATTATGGGAATGTTGTTTAGTCTTTTGGTGTGCAGGAGGATTTCAGATATATTTTCAAAACAATAATGGTTCATGGTAGCAGGGAAGGTTTTGACCATGTTGCATGAATAGATGACTTTAGAGAGTTGAAAGTGATGAAGGAATATTTAAAAAATGCTGTTATCAAGATAGTTTAGAACATGGGAACATTTTTGATTTTGGCTGTAAATATGTTGAGCTCATATTATAAATTGGAGAAATTAACACAGGTGTAATTTTGCTATAATAAGTCTGAAGTAGTAGATCTATAATATCCTTTAAGGTGAACTGACCCACAATCAATCAAACTGTTGACAAATCTAAAATATGTACTTACTTAAAAAATTATTTCAGACACTATGATACACTTAAAAATGAATATGCCAGGTTATAAATGTAGATTACAAAAAAATAAAAAATATTGGTACTAAATTTTACATAAAGATACTTTTAGAGAATATTTGATGAAATTTATCAAACAGCTCAAGACTTAACATCACTTGGTCCTGTATTATAAGATTCTTGAAATTGATTGATTAAAGAAGGTAGGAAAATCTTTTTCCTATTTTTGTGTGACATTAGAATATCAGAAAAGTACTGACATGATTTTTCATTTCAATTTAATTAATCCCAAGTTCTGTGTTTTCTTTCATTCCTTATTCATTGTGTTCATATGGCATTAGTTTTGACAGATAAGAACAGGAGTTGACTTTGGGAAAATGGTTTTAGCTAAATATTTCAAAATTTGCTTATTGATTGTGACCTGTTAAGGTTTTGAAAAAAAATGATGAAGTTTTGTTTGGTAATATATATATAATTTCGTTTGAGTCTTGCTTGATTTAAGCTTACTCGAATATAAAATTAACAGACATTTTTGTTCACATTTCAATTATAATCTTTGTTGTTAAGCAAATAAGTGAGAAAATAAAATAATATAAAAAATGTTTTGTTTATTTTCTCCAGAATACTTCAAAGCATAAATTCATATAAAATGTATCATATTGCTTGTCATTTAATATGTGCAATTTAATGTTTTCATTTATTCTAAGTCACACTCTAACATAATGTGCTTATCCTTTGACAAAAGTCAGTATACAATTCCTCCTAGAGAAAGATAAAGTAAAAGCTGTGAAATTCTGTGTGTAACAGAATTAAAAATAAGATGGAATCAAACATTTTCTCATCAGGTTAAATTTATTCATCATTTCTAATTACATAAAGTCATCATTTTATAATTTTATATTACAAAATATTTTTTTTAAAAACTCATTATTGAGATAGTCAAATATAATTTGAGAGATGAAAAATAAAATAATCATTTTTAAATATTGTTTTGAAAGTTTTAGTATGTTGGATAAACCAGTAAATATTATTAGAGGTCCATAATCAGTATTTATAATTCATAATGCTTTTAGGTGCCAAGCATTATTGTTTATTTTTGTTGTTTTTGGTGTTGTTAAAATGAATCTAGAATTAAATAATTTGAATTATATAAAAATGAGTTATTAATTAATGCCTTTTGCCATAATCATGTGCTTAACATTTAAAATGATGTTTGACATTGGTAAATAATTTGATTTTTAAAAATTATTCAGAAAACGACTAATAAATCAATCATTCCTAAATATTAAATAACTTTAATTCAGTCAACAAAAACAGGTTATATACAAATCAAATTTATATATTTTATTTAAGATAAGATAAAATTTTGATCAAACAAATGGCAATGTTTTTTTTTTATAACTAAGTACATATTAATTTTTAGCATATGCATAAATATTCTTACAAAGACAACTAGAGCAATTTAACACAAGACATCTAAAAGTATTTATTAAGCACAAAATAAAAACAACGAGCATACATCATGGAACTTTACTCAATTAGTGACAATGTTGACTTTAATGGTGATTTTAAAAAAAACATTTTCTATTAACAGCCGGGGGAGCATGCTGGTGAATTATTTTAGACTGGGAACAAATGAATTTTTATATCTTTCGGTACTTACTATGAGGGAAAGAATTCACCATGATTGAGCTGATCTTAGGTATCTGTGGTGTGAGAGGTTGAGATGTGTCAGCCAAAATTTGTTAGTTTTACAAAAGCATATAGCTTCAAATAGTTCTTCAATTGAAGGTATTTCTGTTTGAGTTATATTACTTTCTTTCTTGTGGCACCCTGCTCTGTTGGAATCCTGATCTGGTGCTATACTGTTCTTTACATTTTCATATAATTGTTAAACATCAATTAAACACACAAACGAAAAAAAAAAATGTATTTAGGCCATCGTCCAATTGCTTATGGCAATTAAAAGTTAGGGTTCAATACCCACTTAAGGTTGTTAGATTTTTAAAACTCCCACTGACCCTATCCATAGTTTAGTTATTAATATTGTAGATGCACAAATAAACAACTTTCTTTTAAACTGTGCTAGAGTTAACATGATAATGATAGCTCTATAAACATCAGATTAAGATTATGATTTTGTTTTGTCATAATAGTCATTAATACATATTCACATTAGGTAAAATCTGTAAATGAACCCATTGTTAACACACAAAAAAACAGTACAAATAAATATGAACTGAACCTATTGTATACATTCCAAACTCAGGGAGTTGAAGCCCTGTGCAAAAATAAAGACCCTTGTACCGGTACACAAAAAAAAGAAGAAAAGTTCATATAAATGCAGCTGGTTATCTTGTATTATATTCAAATCATTATAATTTCTCATTTTTGCCTTCAAGCAATCCTTCCCTATTTTTATGCAATTAATCCCAAACAAAGGGTGTATGTGTTTATTTATACACTATAATGTTGATATGACTGGTCAGCTTTGAGTCCGTATCTATTATCAGTTGGTAGTCAGATGGTTAATTTGTAACTAAACCGTGTAATCTTATACCTAATAGCATTACACACTATTAGAATGTTAACCACATTATTTCATTTAGTATATTTTTAAATGTTTCTTTGGAAGACCAAGAGTGTGCCACATATAAAAAAAGGTTACTGAGCTCTGCCCTAAATAACATTTACAGTTGCACTAAGGCAAAAACATAGTCTAAAAGAATAAAAAAAACTTTTACAATATAACACTTTCAAATATATTATGATACCCTATTATGAAATTAGCGTATTAGCAATAAGATATAGTAAAAATATATCATAGAAATTAAATACTAGTGCACTAGCAATAAAATACATTACAAAAATATAATAGAATTAAATAACACTTGCAAATACTGTAGTTCTTGTTTCAATTTGTGCAAAAGACAAGTCCGTTTCTACCATTAAGCAAAACTCAGTGTCTGGCTTGGGCGGAAGAATTTTAGGGGCAGTAAAAAGGTGGGAAGGGGGTGGGGGGGAGGGGGGAATTTTTAATTTGAAATCAAAAAGGGAAAAAATTAAGCGAATTGACAGGAAAAAAAGTGAAATAGAGGATAAAATTTAAAATATAGTTTAATGTTGAATACAAAATTCTTTAAAGCTAAGCTAATGCAGTAATTCTTCTAGCATGGATGACACAGGGAGAGAGTGGTGATAGTAAAAGGAAGAGGGCAGCATTTTTCAATTCTCACCTGGTGCATCAAAAAACCTAGAAATGACCCGGACAAAAGGAGTACCATATTATTTCCAACTAAGTGTTACAAAATTTATTTTGGATTTTCAGTCTCACTTATGAATTATGATGCTGTCTTTCACGAATAACGCCCTCATTAGCTAAATATGTAGTCACCTTCAAATAGTGAAAGATACACTACACCCCTTTGCTAATTTTGGAAACAATTTTCACATTGAATGGATCCATGTGCCTTAACTTCATTTGTACCAAGATTGATTTGTAACGTAAAAAGTAAAAAAAAAGGTTCTGGTTGACAAATGTCATTTAGAAAGTGTGCAATGGCTTCCCTTTCTTTTTTGAATAACCAGAGAAAAACACATTAAAAAAACAGTATAGTTATTGAATTTGTATGGCATACAAGATACATTTCCCTTTTAAGATCTCCAAAAAAAACAAAAATTTAAAAAATACATGATTATAAAACTATTTCATAATCTCTATGTGTCTATGTAAAAGTTCTCCATAAAAGTTCCATCAGGAAAATAAACCCTCTTGTAATTTTGAATGAGATTGACAGCCTCAACAAGGGCACTTGGAAACTTGTGTTGGCTTTTCCTTGCTGCAATACAAAACAATCATAAAAAATAGTTTATAATGTAGAATATAATAAAAATTACAATCAGGGTTTCCATAAAGGACATCCTTATAAAATATGCATCTATTTCAGGCCCCTCACCCCTGTCCCCATACGGCTTAAACCCGAAACCCCCCCCCCCCACACACACACCCGGTTGTGGATGTCCACAGGAACATACAGGAGTTTACAGTGTGAAATGCCAGGAAGTATAATAATGATTATAAATAGCAAATAGTCACTAGATTGCAATATCAATATCATATTGGTCAATCCATAATATGCATTGCAGGGGAGGGTGGTTGTTAAGTTTGGAGATATTTGAGTACTGGTGCATAAAATAAAATAGCAATCACATGCCTTACATTAGAAAGGAAAATAACTCACCTTCGTTTACAAAGAAATTGGCCATGTACTGACCAACTAGAACTGCATCATTATCATGATTGATGACATAATTTGGATTCCAGTTGAAGCTGTTTTTCTCTGGATGCCACTGGGTTCCATAGATGGGATACTTTTTTGCTAAGTTAAAAAAAAGTTCACGTTTTTAATTTTTTATTTTTTTATTTTTTTAAATGCATCATGATTATAAATTTGAAGAATAATTTTTCTTATAAATATTAAGTCTTAAAATAACAAATTAACCATTTGCTTTCCATATTCTTTAATAGTTTTTTATTATCCCGCTTCACATGAAGCGGCTGAACGACTGATTCAAAGTTTCAAGAGCTCACAAAGGAAATCCTCATTACCTTTAAAAGAAACTCTACAAACTTCCTAGGCCAGTATCATAGGACACCATTGGCTAGTGCATTATCACCTAGTCAACTGCCAAACAATCAGCAAATAAGAACTCTTATTAATAGTCTAAGTTTCATGTTCTGCTCATTGAGCACAAGACATAGCCAACCGTAGTGGGACAAATAGTCATCCTAGTGAATCAATTCACCAGGAAGATCCATGTTATGTCAGAATATATGGAACCTTTTTAAGGTAAAGCTTTACCCAAATGGCCCCATATGGAAGAGAAATTCAAACCAACTTTGTCCCAGGTATGGAGCAGAAGAAGATCCAGAACCGGTTTTGGATATAATGACAGAAAGTCATTACCCAACGATTTAGACAGCACTCATTCAACTCATTCAGCAACTTCTAAGTCCACCTAATAAGAAGTTCAACCCTAAACATCCAAGACCCTCAGACAATAACGTACCCAGAAGTTCTTGAAGACAATGTCAAGCACCTTTTGTACTGGACTTGAAATTTTTGGGAGAGCTGTTACAATAGACTATACCATACAAATAGACAACCGGGGCTACTGTTGTGCATGACCTGTTCTGGGGAGAGGGTACTGTGTGTTGCCAAGCTAAGCATGGTGAAAATGTTTTAGAACTTGCTATTTGTATTCTGAATTTCTTATGTTGTTACCTTATTGGTTTTAATAAAAACATAACATTAATTAACAATAATTTTACCTTCTACAGAAGAGATAAATTCTACTCCTTTCCTATCTAAATTAGTGGAGAGTTTGTAGAAGAAATCAGATAGTTTTGAATTCTCAAAATCCTGAAAATTTGCAAAAAATATTTAAAATGCTAAATTTTTAATATCAGCTTTTTAAAATGTTATAAATATATCATATATTCATGAAATTATGTACTTTAGCTTCTTTTTCAATTTAACTTTTAAAATATAATTATATATGCCCCAAGGGCAATATTACCTATCAATGAATGCGTTTGATCATTAACAAAGTAGCCAGTATGGACACTTTTAGAGCATGCACATGAAATTAAAATAATATATTTTCCAATTAACCATTTGTGAATCATTAGCATTATTGTGCCTCAAGACTATGCAAAATAAAGTTAATTAAGCCTTGTTTATGCAGCGCTACATATAGTAATGAAGTTGATACATATTTTCATATTTCATTTGAATGTTTGACAATTCATAGGCTATGCTCCATTTAACTCATCCAAAAAATAATAATTAATTAAAACTTGCTCAATACCTAAAATGTTGCAATAACAGAATTTATTAAGCAAACATTTTCAGAAAAACTAGAGGGCTCATTTCCCACAAGACATTTAACAAAAACATATTTTCCTTGTAAACATTAAATATCTCTAATATTTTTGCTGTGCTCACTGGAATTAATATGCTGTAACTGTGTTGATTCTGGGTCACTGGTTCAGTCAACAATATCTTTTGAACCTCAAAGGGTGCTATTCCATACATGCGGCTTAAATAGGCATCTGAGAAAAATACTACCAGGTTATAATTGGTATAGAGATAAACACTCTGATTTAACATAGATATCTTAAGCCCTTGATCCCCCAAGACTTATTTGATGAACATTCAATTCATTCATTTCATTTCAAAATTATTTGACATTCATAAATAATAAAACCATAGTTACTTACTTTTTAAAAGATTATGCAATTTTAAAGTATGACACTTAAACTAAAGCTCTGCATTGCTTTCTCTTAACTGAAAATTCTTGAAATGAGTCACAAACTTTTATAAATTACCGATACCATCTTCCATTACAAACTTATCAGATAATACTTTAAATGGAAGGAAAACAGCAGCATAAGTGAAAGATCTGTACGGCCCACCAATCATAGTGCTCCACTTCCCAGATCAGTTGACAGGCATCCCCCATACAACCAAACCATGACTTGGTGTGGAGAAGGACACCCAATCTTAGATTTAAAAATTTGGGATTGAAATTATTACCAAACTAAACTTATCTCCCCATTCAAACCCAAGAGATAAATGATTGGCCTATACCAGGTTTTTAATACATTGAAGCATTCAAGTCACAAGATGTTATAATATGTTCAACCTGAAGTCAAGTTGAGGGCCCAAGACGCATTGTTGGAGTCAGTTGGTTTCAAGAGATTCTCTCCTTGCGTAACGTAGCAAAGAAGCTGAAATCCCATACATGTTCCCCAAATTGGGTAGTAGTCTCCCTTGTCATTTAACTGTTGTTAAAGAATTTTTAGATTTTTAAAAATGTTACTTTTCAAAAGAGAAACTTAACATACCGGTATATGAATAGACATGCCAAATGTTTACAAAAATGTCATCTATAAGGATAGATTTTTTAATGCGATTATTTCATTATAGCATTGTGAAAATCTTACTTGCAATGCTAAATCATAAACAATCTTAGTGGACCGTCCAATCAGACTTGTGGCAAAGTTTACTGCCCCACCTGGTATTAAAATCCTGGAATTTACGGAATATACAAAATAACATTTATTTTAACACACACTGAATAGTCATATAATTTAAATCCAGCAAACTAGTGTAAAAAATTTCTTAAAGTTGAGCATAATATGAATGATTATATTTCATATCATAAATGTTTTTTTTATTATATGAGTTGCTTTCAAATTACTGTAATTAAGACTAAGCGTATTATAATTAAATTTTTTAATATATTACACATATTTTTAAAAAAAAACAATAAACCATACTGGATTCCTTGTTTTGTTTTTAACTGTTAAAAAAACAAAGTTCAAATCATGATGCTTATAATTGAATATGATTTCTAGCAGATTCTAAGATTCATGAAATAGTGAAGAACTATCAAGTTACTGACCAAGCCTAATAGATAAGTCTTTTTACCCATTAGTGTAGTTGATCATCTGGGAATAGTACTCTTGAGGCTGACCACCCTTAATAGGCACAACTCTTGCTCCAGCTTGTTCCATATATTTGACATAAGTTGCAGGAATATAAGTCTTGCCATACTTTGAAACTGTATCTTGTGCTAAGATCCCTGAATGGTATTTGGTGTAGTATAGTTTTAACATGTAACCAGATTGTGTGTGACCCCAAAAAATGATGGGATTACAAAAACAAAAGGATGGTATGAAGCATGGCAGATATGCACACAAATGACAAGCGTGTATCAAAATATCTTGTTTCTTTTGTTAAGATTATATTATCTTTACCACTTGTAACTAATGAAATTTAATTTTGATAATTAAATGAATATATACGATTTTGAGTCAGAGTTGAGTGGGATTGGACTGATAATTAATAATACCTGAAACAGTGAAATCCTAGATCTAAATGCCAACTTCAATCCCTATTCTTAATTATTATAAGCCTGATGAGGAAGTTCTTGGTATACACTAGAGGTGGACCTAACAGAATTTTTTTTTTTTATAACATACAGGGTGGCCCAAAAAAAAAAATGACAACATCTGTAGCAAAATAGTATAATTACATCAAACTTTATTTAACTGTACAACAGAACTTAAACTTGGAAGTGGTCATTCAAAGTTTGCTAGAACGGGACAGAACATTGAGCGGTTGAGTGAGCTGATCTGCAGTCAAGATGATAATGCTCACAGTCACAAAAGTCTGTGGGGTTTGAAAGAGAAACGTTTGAAAGAGTCTGTGGTGCAATGTATTACACACATGATTGTGATTGGGCAGATGGTCAATGAAAATTGCTCATTAAATCGTTTGCAATGCAGTCAGCAGCTTCTTGAATAGTTTTCTAATGAGAGCAGTGTACGGAGTATTTGGTTTACAGACGAAAAGACATTCACTGTTGCCATGCCAATTCATTCTCAAAATGATTGTATTTATTCAATTCTATTCAAGTATAGAGAAGGCAAGTTCCAAAGAATGGGAATATTTCAGCCGCAGTATCATGGTACCAGTAGGTGTGTCTCAAATGGGGAAAACCAATGTTGTGTCCATTGGACTGGGTGCCAAAGTAAACAGAGAATATTATTGTGAACATGTTCTCAGATGAGTTTTTGATGGCTGACATTCAAGGAATATGTGGTCATCACAATTGGACATTAAAGCAGGACGGAGAGCTCCATTCATAGAAAAACAATCAACTTTCTTCATCAGGAGAATGTAACCTTTATTGAGCCAAACATGTGGCGACATCACACAGCACAGACCTCATTTAAACCTAGTTGATTGTGCCATATGGGGTGTATGTATTGCAAGCAAAAGTCTATGATCTGCAAAAATTTACCACAGTTGAGCAGCTCAAGTTGGCAATAATAGAGGAATGGTGAAATCTAGGGCAGTGCTTTATTGACAGAAGCCTAAATGAGTGGCGCCAACGCTTATAAAATGTCATTTAAGAAGCAGGGGGGTTACAATGAACATGTTTTTTCTTCTAATCAGCGTAATACTTGGCATGCAACTGTAAATGACAAAACATTACATTAATTCAATCATATTAAATAATCCTTTGCTACGAGATGTTGTCACTTTTTTGGGCCACCCTTTAGGTGTCAATACCATCTTTAATCATTGTGCCATTGAATTTTTTTTTTTTCCTCATTGCCAACTAATCGAATCATGAGAACTGTTTTGAATAACTAAAGTTTCTTAGATTCACTTTTAAACTCCTTTTCATCATTTCTCTCCCCACCTCCCCCCCCCCCCCCCCCCACCTATAGCCTGCTATGCCTTGTTCCTATATATATTATGATATAGGTATATATATATACAAACAGCATTTATTGGTAGGTAGCCTACCTATTATAGGGCGGCTGTTAAGAGCTTCTGCTCCATCTAGATAAGCACATAACATGAAGATACACAAAGATGTCAGCCTTCTACTGTCACGGGTCATGTTGAACTTTTGTGAAATTTGTGGGAACTAAAATAAGAAAATATATTACTAGGGCATATATAATAATGATTAGTGCTGAGAGCTATAACATAAGTTACATTTATGTAAGTGTCTATGTGAAATAAGATCACATTGCAACATGAATTGAAAATCTATGACAGTCAGGATTTTTAATTAGCCGATAAACACAATTGAACTTATCAGTAAGTAAAATACATAATTCGGCGTAACTTTTGTTCATTTCTAATGTAACAAGTAGAATCTGACATATAATTTTTAAATGAATAATTAACAAAAAGAACCTGAATTGGTCATTTGAGAATGGTCAAATTGTCAAATATACAAACTAAAATATCTTCTAAAAATATATGATATCATTGTCATATAGTCAACCCTGTAGCTCATCAGGAACCAACCAATCCAAGTTACAGTTTGAGAATTGAGACCATATAGTATAGCTCAGGTCTATTTCATTATTATAATTTTTTATTAAAGGTTTGTGGGTGGGGGGTAGGGATGGGGTGGATATACAAATAATACTATAACTATATGCCCTAGCATTATGTAAGCCCACAAAGCTATAAGAAAAAGCCAATGTCTTTTTTAAAATTAGTTTTTGTGAATGCATTTTCATTTAAATTAAATATATCTTTTAAAATACGGCACAAAATTACCGATATACTGTATTAACTATTTGAATAATGACCGGAATTCCATGTCCATGTGGTCAAAGACAAGGCCTATAAATTTGTGTGCAGGAATTCAAACTTCAAACGCACACAAAAAATCCACGCAGGCACCGAAAACGCCACTCTTTAATGTAACTTAAGGCTTAAGTGCCGACCCTCAGCCCTATCCTGCCTACGCCACTGCACCGGCACTCCAATTGCAAAACGCGTGAAAATGGAACAAGTCTAGCATGTTTTTAAGTTCGTAATTGCAATCTTTCTATGCTCATGACCATGATCCCAATTTTCTAATATCCTACTGAAAAGACTGATGTATAATTGATAATACTCACATTCAAATAATCACTAACTGACACCCTTTCAATAAAATACTTTCATTCTGGATACGCCGCTGGGCGCGCATCGCTAAAGCATGAAATGACGCTTATCATCTGATGACGACTAGCCGCTGCTCTTCCGGTGGTGATGAGGTGTTAGTTTATTACCGACTTACCACCACAATTAGTAATATTAAACATATTAAATGATGTCAGTAGAAAACGCATCTGGCAGTCACCTCCTCTCCTCCACTTCTTTCTACGGCAAATAATAATACATGCAATCAAAACATAGTCGACTTACCTGTCACCAAGTTGAAGTAGTCTACCAATTCTGGATATAATTCTTATACTTATAACTTATATTAGTTATACTCATACCGATTAAAAAGGAAAGGAAAATAATTCATTTCCTCATTTAAAATTTTAATGGAGGGGAAAATCCATAAGGTAATAGTGAAAGACCACTATCTCAATGAAATATATATAAGGGGGAAAAGTTACATTCACTCTAAGGACATGAACTATTTCGGGGTTTCCCCAAACCAGGATCTGTTACTGTAGGGAAAAAAACAACATCCAACATTACGGAGTCCGGTTTTGTGTTTTCTTCTTTTACTTATGTTTCTTATTTATTATAGGCATAATAGCGTCTCTACTACAACTATGCACACTTGCACACACAAACGCTATATCGATATTGTACTGTCTGGTGGGATCCAGTAAGAGTTTGAGTGTGGGTGTAATGTGACAGGGGCGAAAATAGGGGAGAGAATACGTTATATTTATATGAGTAAGAGAACGTAAACTTTTGGGATGTTGACCAAGGACAAATTCTAAAAGTTGAAAGAATGGACACGATATTTTAATATAGGTGTAAGGGCAAACCAAGTACGCACAAGTAGATATGTGCATCGCCAACTGTATACTTAAACCAAGTAATGTGTATCCTCACATGATAACGCCAAACTGCGTCTGTGGTTTGCTGAGCAATCCATTCTCTCTAGTCTCTAGCCCTGCTTATTTGTCAACGTTGTAGCAGCCTATTATTTTTAGATTTAACTTAACTTTCTGGTTGGTAAAAAAAAAAAATTGTACACGATGGGAAATTATAAAAACGAAAATGGTTTTATAAATTTAGTTGACATCTTCCATGTATTTGGCGTGTATCCATGTTAAATAATTATTTTATTTGTTAAAATCATTGTAAGGAAAAAAAAAGGATACTGTTTGTTGCAGTTTATTTAAAAGCTATAGAAAGAAATTCCGAGAATTCATTTTAAAACAAAACATCATTAAGTAGTCAGGTGCCACCCCTTCTGATGGTGAAATCTGTCTGCACCCCCACTAATGACGTCACTGGGTGGGCCTGTAATCAATGAAGGGTATGCAAATGTTTGGCTATGATGGGGCCAACTGCTTGATTGTAAAGCCCTTAGATTTATATTCAAATGTAAGGCTGAGAATTATGCCAACTCCTTGTTTGTATACCATTAACACTTACGTAAAGCATCTACCAATAGGCCTACTGAAGAGTGTGTCAACTGCTTGACTGTAAAGCCCTTTGATTTTTATTCAAATGGAAGGCTGAGAAATATGCCAACTCCTTGTATGCTTACCATGTACATCAACACCAGGAACAGAAACATTGCAAATCCCATCTACATGCATAGGAGCCAAAATGATCAATAAATTTATCGTGGGCCCTAAGAAATAGAAGATATAGAAGAAGAAGAACACTCACGTGAAGTATCTACTAATAGTAGCAAGTCTACTGAAGAATGTGCAAACACCCTGGCAATAGTGAAATATATCTCAATAGCAATGGGTCAAAATAATTTCAAATGGTCAGCTTAAACCAAAGCAAAAGAACAAACTTACTGATACAAGCAAGCAAGAACTTGTTAGAATCAACATCTTTTATTGCATCAATCATCCATCTCTTATCATCATAAAAAAAACAGCATTTTTAACACAAATAAAACAAAATCATAAATGTTTTAATTAAAAAAAAAATTTTTTATTGGAGTGTTCACATATTAAGATCAATCAAATCTGAATGTCTGTACATACTCTCTGATGCAATACAAATTCCTATGCAGACTACAATACATCAAGAGAAGCCTCTACTTTAAGTCTATCAGCTGCACCAGTACAACTAAAAAAGAATGTGCCAGTGGAAGATCTTGCCAAAAGCCTCTATCAATAATTTACCTCACTATGAAAACATCTATATGATTATTCCATAAATTATAAATATATTTTAAATACACCTATACATATATTTTTTTTAAAAGTTATAATTTTAACAAATTTAACCAAATCCATACTATTTCTACCGGTACCTGACTCAGTGTTTGAAAGGAGACAGTTTAAGTGAGGTTAATTTAATTTTAAGTTACTCTTTTTCTTTATTATGGCATAGCAGCATTACAAAAGATAAAATGCATTTATATACAGTGTAAATTAATAAAAATAATGAAGTAGAATTTAAGCCAGATAAATAATTTTAAAAAATAAATTATCTGTCAGGTTTTTCTCCTGAAACTTTCTTAACTTAGTTTTAGGAAAGACTGAACTGGAAGTTAAAAATGAACATGAATGTATTTCTTATTTCAGTTGTTCTTGAAAAGAAGGTCAAAGGTTTTTAAAGTTCTTTGATTTAGTATTCTGACTTTTTTTATAGTTCAACTGTCACAAATGTTTGGACATTTATGTCTGACATATAATATCCATACACCACTGGCTATCATGTTCAATAATTTAAACTGAACACGTTTTTCTCAATATTATTCATGACCATATAAACAAAGAATTTTTTTTTAAATTTGTAACAATATTTAAATAATTTATGGTACAAACATTGTATCAGTGGCCCAATGATTTTTGTTTAGATCCAAATTTTAATAAACATAAACAAAAGATGCGTTGAAAAGGATCAAATAAATTTAATACAACTTCTACAACACAATCTGTACTACCAGCTGTTTCTTCTGCCTGAATCTGGGGATAAGAGAGATTTGCAAAAATATTAATAATCAACATAAATGTGCTTTTTAAAATGATGATTAAAAAATAATAACTAAGAAAATGTTAACTTAAACTAAAACAGACTTAAAAAAAAAGCGTTAATATCAAAACTCTGATTGCTTTATTTTTTATCTCATTCACACTGAGCTATAAATAGGCTACAACCCAGTTTAAATTTTTACAAAGTATATGAGGTAGGGTCAAAGTCTAAGACTTAACAGAGAAATAACAATTCAGCTTCAAACCAGCTGTAGTAGTAATCACATTTTATATTACTGAGTATTTAATGCCATGGCCATCCACAGAATATCATTTTGTGGGGAGTTAAAAAATACCCCTCAGAAAAAAAACCACTTTATACTGGGTAATAAATTTTTATAAACTAACATACAAACACTCTTGTAGTTTTACATTATTATTCAAAGGGAATGTATAGCAAAATTAGGTCACAGAATACTTTTACAGAAAGTTGAATCAGTCATAAACATTGCCATAGAGTAAAACTGCTTTTCCATTTTGAAGAAATAATTCATTAAATTTTTTAATTTTAAAAACTCTAATTTTAGGACATAAAAATAAAGAAAATACTTAAAAAGGTCAAGTGAAAAATTGACTTCACATGTTTTTGCATCAGCCCAAGCACTTAAGTTATGGTGTATAGTGTATATTTCAGAAAGAAATCACATATGTATATTAGGGGTGTGCCGGATCCGTTTTTTCCAACCGGATCCGGATTTTCTTATGCGAAATCCGCCGGATCCGGATTCCGGATTTTGGTACTATTGGTAGATACTTCGATAAGTCAAGGTGGACTACTACTTTTTGTGTATGGGAATTCGCAATCGGCGCCAAAAAATCCGAGTTTTTAATTTTCCGATGTGTGTGTCTATTTATTATTAAATTAGTACTTTCGATATATATTTGAGTTCCGTTCCATTTGGATAAGTGTCTTACGAGAGACGCCATGTTTCTACGCGTTCGCAGCAGGTTATGCAGCTCGCTCAACCTAATTTCGCCATGGGGTTGGCCACGCCCCCCTTTTTAATGGCGGAAGTTGACGATACTTAGGAAATATTAATTTATTATCACTATTTACATCAAAATAATTGATAACTTGTGTTTCAGAATGCATTTAAAGACATTTAAACTGGAATGTTTTAATTTGAGCTTTAACAACCCGGTAGAATCCATATTATAAATGATCAGAATTTACCGTGTGCAACACGTTGTCATTGGCAACCATTCACAGCCACTTGCATAACTGTATCGTAGTACTACCTCAGAGTTTCATTCATAAGAGTTTGCCGTGTGCAAAAACTATTAAACCATTGGTCAGGGAAAGCTTTAATTAATTATTCATGTGCCAAAGTTGAAAGTTTAAACTAAGTCTAAACAGTATTTTAGTGATAAGGCAGGGAATGCGTTGCCTTATATAAACTATATAGTCATTGCGCATGACGGGATTGGTGGAATGAGATCACAGAATGTGGAGATGCAGTCCATGTTAAAAAATGACAAACCAAGTCGTACTTTAAAAATTCATAACTTTAAAACTACAACAGCTAAAAATATGATTTTGGTGTTATAATTCTTTAAAAAATTACATCTTTTCAACTATGCCATTGGTTTATTTTTACAAAAAGTTTAAATTTTCTTATCAAAGTCCCTACACTATTGGCCACTATTAGCGGTGCTGACTCTAGCCTCTGGTATGTACGGAATATTAAACATTAAACAAGCTCAACGCTCGAAACAATCGATTAATGTATCGTGATCGTGTGGAATTCGGGAAAGAGAATTACTTTTATTTCAGATTATGATCCGGTGAGTCACAAAATCTGGCAAATTCCGAAATCCGGTATATTCCGGATTCCGGAATCCGGTTGTTCCGGATACATGTAAATCCGGCGGAACCGGATTGTGCAAAATCCGGCGGAACCGGATTCCGGACCGGGGTCCGGCACACCCCTAATGTATATATCAAAGCTCAATTTTGTTTGTTGCATGAAAGGGGTAAGAAAAAAAATGTGGGAGTCTCAAGAGCGCTATTAAAGAATTGTATACCATAAAATTTATGTCAGACGCTGTCTAACAAGGAGAAAGTGAATTGCACCTGTGACTTGCGAGGGAGTCAGTGTGATGGCTGCATTATATGTGTGTTCATAAAAAATTATTATAATTTACATATAAGGTCACATCACCATTAGCTTTTAAAGCAACTTACAATTTAAATTGGACTCTTAAAGTTTTAAGCTGCAATTATCGCATTAAATAGATCGTAAGTTAAAATTATAAAGTTTAATAAACTGAAAAATCTAATTTTGGATACCGTTTTCTTTTACCCTAATAAATAACCCTTTTTATTAAATGTATTGGGGTTGCGGTTCACCTTGCTTCTTTAAAACAGGGTATCAACTTAAAATGGGCTGGGAAACTGTGATTTATATATTTTGGGGAAGAAACAAAAAAAAAAATTGAAATAAAATGCTTTTACTTAAGTTCACGTAATTAAAAAAAAAAAAATAGCGCATGGATAGGAAAATACAAACAATTTTTAGTTACAGTATAATAACTTACTATAGTTGAATGGTTTACGAGAATACTTTGATGAACCTGTGGTTGGACATACAAAAAAAATCAAAGTGGTTTAAATTTGGTAATAAATGTTATATCTTATAAATGCATGGACAATATGATTTTTATAGAAAAAAATTAAATCACATTAATATAGCAGACCTGCCAAGAAAAAAAATATGTAGGGGGGTGCATGTGTGTGTGTGTGTGTGTGTGGGGGGGGGGTGTTTTAAGATCTATATAATAACTCACAAACCTTTTTTTAGTAAATAAAGAAATATAAAGTTACCTCGAGTGTCTTTGAAGAGTCTACAGAACACCACAGAATATGAGTATAACATTACTGGAAATGTTTATTTACAGATATATACAGTACAGAACTGAAGATCCATTATATTTACTTATGTACACAGGCTGCTAAGAGTTCAGTTTTCCAGCATATTCCTACTACTAGTGGCCTTTTTGCACTTGTCCAAGCTATTTGGACAACTGAAGGTTAACATTGCAACTGATTTTAGTTACAAGCAAGTTAGAAAAAATATTAACTTTCATTAGAAATTAGACATGGATTACTTTTAGCTGCAGTTGGCAGTTTTTTTATATTTTAATTTGGGGGTGGGGGGGGGGGAGGTGGGTGTTTAAAATAGGTTATAATATCATCGTACTCATCACTTTCAATAGATTTGAACATTTAATTAAGAAAAGCTTTAACAAAACAAACAAAAAAGTCTGAATTATTTTTTAGCCTTGTAAAAAGGATGAATCACGATCTGATCAATTGATGATTGAAGAATGATTTAAAGATCGCGGTTCGCTTTGATAAAAACAAGGCAGTCTACACGTCAGTGCGGGAGATATTCATCTGGCGGGCATGCCACGCTTTATAAAAAACATCTCCACTTTTTTACCAATTGTTCATTACCGGGTATATATACCAGCAATGGCTCTAGTATTTCTTTTGTAGAATTGAACATTATTTCTTTGTTTGTGTAAATGTCCAGACTAACTTGAATTTGTTGAAATGAAGTACCGTAAACTCTGATAGACTATTAGTACTATTAGTATTAGCGGTCACTGACAAGGCTGACGGACAAATATCTCGTGCAACTTTGTTATAGCGGTCATGTGACTTGGTCGAATATGTAACAGTTACGGCCAGACTAATATCTCGAGAACTTATTGGTTCGATTGCCAAACATGTAGACACTTCGTAAAAACAAAGAAGTGGCATCTACGAAATGCACCACTTCCTGTCGTATCCAATTTAAAAATTCTTTTCTTCCGCTTTAGGATTTTTATGGCGGGTGAAAAATTATGTTAGGAAAATTGGAATTTTAAGGGGTTTGTCTGAATGAGGGGTAAAAAATCTGTATAATTCCGACAAAATCGGAAGGGTTGGCAGGTCCAATATAGCCCTTATTTAAAAAAAAATAAATATATTAACCACAGAAACATTCATACATTACATACGCACCTCTGGGTTTATTTCTTGATGTAGCATTAACAATGTCAGACAATTCTTGTGGTACTTCCTGATCAGCGGCCTTTAGAACAGCAATTAAATCCATGACCTAAAAAACATATATAAAATAATTATTTCCATTAATTTTCTACACTTCTCATATTCAGAGCTCCTCACTTTTCTTTGAACTGTTATAAAAATGGACAAACATATTTAAAAACACATTTTGTACTATACTAAGTTTTAAAATAAATAACGTTACCTTCCCAGCATCTTCCTCTGTTATTAAAGTCAAAGCATTTCCTGTTTTTGATGCCCTGGCTGTCCTGCCAATTCGATGAATATAATCATCTGCTGTGTTTGGGTAATCGTAGTTGACAACAAGTGTTATGTCATTAACATCTGTAAACAAAACAATCTTATTAACCTTTGATCAACACTTTATTTTTTTTTTAAAATCATTAATCAACTTTCATGTTTTCAATCTATAAGAAGATAGTGACAAGCTTGTAGCCTTTGTGAACTTACCTAAACCCCTTGAAGCAACATCTGTAGCCACGAGAATATGTGTTCCTCCTTCTCTAAAACCTACAGGTAAGATAAAATATAACTTTAACATTTGATTTGAAAAACAATCACAATTTAACTATTCAATTCAATTTAATCACAATTTATTTTAAGTGTAGCTTCCACTAGCTGAATTTAATGACATAAAAGAAGGAAAAAAACAGCAAGTCTGAAACAAAAAAATATGGCAATGACACAACCGGAATAATGATATCAAAAGCAATAGTGAAATACTTTTAAACAACATTTTATTCAGTAACTGAGCAACTGATACTTACTGCTGAGTGTTTTATCCCTAACTAATTGAGATTTGTCTCCATGAATAGACAGTGCTCTAAACCTGTATTGGATGAATAAGTTGGAATAAGTTTTGAGTACCGTTATATGCATGTTAATGTTAAATGCTCAATTGAAAAGTTTTCAGAGAAACTGATCTACATAAAACAGTATTTTATATTCTTTTAGGCCATCACAGAAATTTGTATGGATATTTCATATTGATGAAGCAGGAGATCTGAAATCTGAAGCCTTCTAGTTTTATTCTAATAACTAAATATTCACAGATCAAATCTACTAAATAATTTTAATACTTACTTTACAGTTCTACTCTGAAAGTTAACAGTAGAGTAAGATTTTAAAAATGCTATATAAAACTTGAAATTTGAGCAATATAAATTTGAATTCTAGTTGTATACTCACTGAAGCTTCCTTAATTTGTGAGTGATGTTGTCTGCTTCAGTTTTGGTCTGTGTGAATATTAATGTCTTCTGTTTTTCATTGCTATCTGAATTTTTCTGCAGCTCCTCAACCAATCTTCAGTTTACAAATTGAAAAGAAAAATATCTAAATCAGAATCTGAGTGAGTTTCAGTGAAATAATACATACAAATCGCGGACACATATATCACATATATTTTTTGAATAGGTGTCAATATGGATATGGTTACTTTAAAGAACTTTGTATTTTAAAAAAAATAAAACTTTGCATTAAATTAGTTTTGTATACAATATCATATAGACTAAATTCATATTTGCATAATTTCATCTTAGGATTAAATAACAAAAAAAAAACATTTTTGACAAGCTTTTAAAAATGAACTATCAAAGAAAAAGACATTTTTAAATCGTATTTATAATGTTTCAAGTGAAATTCTTACATATTAAATTTCTCATGGAAATCACAAACTCGAACAGTCTGTTTAATGTTTGGATTTGCCATGAGTTCAGCTGAACCGATGTTGGTCTGTACAAAGTCACCGAGAAAGTCATGGGCTAACTGTTGGATTTCAATCGGCCATGTAGCACTCCACATCAACATCTGTCTGTCAGGCTATTAGGGGGTTAAACAAAGTTAAATTAAACTTGAAACATTGTTCATTGGAAAGCTTAATAGATAACATGTAAGAAAATTGGAAAGCCAGTGTTTTTCTGTTTTTTTTTTCTAAATGGAAAAGAATGCCTTAATCGCAAGTCTTCTTATTTACAGAAGAACTTCTTTGTAATTATTTTAAAAAAATCATCAACATTCAATCCCAGAATAACTGTTATTACCATGAATCTGTTAAAGGTAACATACATTTAAAAAACATAGGTAATCATGCTTCATTTTCTTCTTATAAAGAAAGATTTATCATAAAGAAAAAACTATGGTTGCTAGAAAAAATGCATTAAATGCATATTTTCCAATACATTATTCAGTTAGCGATGTAATTGTCTATATAGCTGCATAAAGAAGCATAAACTGTTATAGATTTTTGGAAACAAGCAATGGTGCTACCAGGTACTTCATAAAAAAAAAAAAAAGTGAAAGTTTGTGCAGCACTGTATGGTACACACCTTTCAGAGAATCTTTACTATAGAAACATTGGAAGTACTTCTTAACTTACTCGAACTTGACCAAGCACTTTTCTGATTTGTGGTTCAAATCCCATATCCAACATGCGGTCAGCTTCATCCAATACAACATAAGTGGTCCTGTCAAGATTGACAACTCCCATCTCTATAAAATCAAGAAGCCTTCCAGGAGTAGCTACCACAATATCAGGACCTGGAAGAAATGTTTTAGAATCGATAACACTTTGATACAATTAGCATGTTAATCACACAATGATAAGGCAAGAATGAGTAAAAGGATCAGGAAATGAAACCAGTGATCCTTCCTTCACAAGTAATCACCTTCAGATAAATGCCTTGTCTGAACAAGTTTGGATTGGCCACCAAAAACACAGCAGGTATTAATTCCAAGAAGCCTGCCATAAGCTGATCCAACACTTTTAATTTGCTGGGCCAACTCTCGTGTTGGTGCTAGTACCAATACCTGGCAGAAAATAAAAATACATTTTCAAACAAAAGAGTTAATTTATAATAATATATTATTATTTCAATTAGATTTTTACAAATATTCAATACATTGGACAAATGTCAGTACCCCCAATTTTTTTTTTTTAAATTTCTTTTTCAAATATCAGCTGTCTAAAACGTACCACTGGGCCTTCACCTTTAGTAACCTGCCTCTGATGCTTTATATGGACTAAGGCAGGTAACATGAACTGTTGATATATTATAAAAATATATAAGAATAAATCATAAATAAATCCATTTTGCTCCAATTACACACAAGTTTTTAATTAGTAAATAGCAAAATTCAGATATTTAAAGAAAACCTGAAATTATATTCCTTAAAAAAATATTTTGATGAGTTCTGTTAGGGAACTGAAAGTAGCAATGAAGTCAAATAAGGGTATATTTAGCATGTTAAAAAGTTCAAATTACTTTTACCCTCATATGACCTTAGCATTTTAAAATATAGAAAGTGAAAGAACCTACACCCAAAGTTTTCCCTGAGCCAGTCTGTGCTATCCCCACCATATTCTTCCCAGATAAGGCAAGTGGCCAGCCAATACTTTGTATTGGTGTTGGTTTATTCCACCCATTTATCTTCAATTGTTGATTTATTTCTTCTGAAAAAGGAAAAAAAGGGTTTAATTTAAAAATTTTCAATTATGTAAAAATGAAAATAAAAAAAAAAAAAAAAATGAATGATAAACATTAAACACCATGTTTAATGTAAGAAATGAAAAGAGGATGGGGCAAGCAAGGGTTGCATGTTTATTCAAAATTTAAAAGTAAAATTTTTCTCCAATGGATGAGTACACTGAGTCAGTTTAGAATATTATCAAACGATAGTGTAAAGATTCAATTCAATCAATTCATTAAATTTTAATTCTTAGTTAGGTCATTTTCTTCATAAATAAATACTTTACCTGGAAAATTGGCCTCTAAAAAGTTCGAAATAGGTTTAGGTCTTTCTCCCCGTTTTACAGTTATATTATGTTGCTTGTAAAATGCATCAACCTCTTCCTAAGCATGACAAAATAATAAAATGGATGTGTTAAGAAATCGTCAACAATTAACTTAGAAAAGCTAAGGATACAAAATAGCCAACCATGCATACTTTTGAAACTAAAGCAATTAAAATTACCTCTGATCTCTGGGCTACAGAATCATGCTCAACATAGAAATTTTTCTCAATGGTCGGAAGGCTGGCAGTGTTCCAGGTTTTCTGTTTAATATTAAGGCCTAGTTCATTTCTTGATCTTCTAGCATATGACCCTTCAAATTCATCATTAAATCTGTCTCCAAAATTTCCTCTATGTGATGATGTGCCATAAGGAGTTCTTCTTGGTCTGAAGTCTGTGTTATTTTCTTTGAAATGACTCAAATTTGAATTATTTTCTTTAGGAAAATAATTTTTTTTGTTCTGATAACCACCTCTATCATCTTCCTCAAAATGATCATTTTGAGAATAAAATCTTTAAAAAAAGAACAAAAATATATTATATAAATATTTGCATCATATGAAAAAATAGCAAACTTATAAAACGAGTGACAATCATATGAAATATTACTGGTGAAAAACAAGCCAGGTACTGATGATAAAGCTTAACTTGAAATAAGGACAAGTACATGTAAAACTAAAAATGCTAATTAAACTCACAACTACCCTATGAATGAACTATATCAGGCCTGCACAACTCAAAATGCAAGGCGGGCTGTATCATTTTATGAAAAACGTGACTGGGGAAAGTTATCAAGAAAATAATAAGAACAAAGAATATTTCGTTACTTCGCAGGCAGCAAAGTGGGTGCTGGCGGGCCACATGTGGCATGCGGGCCGTATGTTGTACAGGCCTGGACTATAGAAGTAAGTTTACAAACCTATAGTCCATTCAATCTATATATATAATTCGCCAGAAGTTAGGCAAACAAGAAGACGACGACCACGCAGGCTATATATAGATACGCCAGAGCAAGCAAGACGCAGGCAAACCCCCCTCCCTTCCCTTGCCTGCCCATTGTTGGTCTCGAGACACGCGCACTGCGATGGAGCTACCACCCCCTCCTGCACCACCCTCGCTGAGCCAGCGAGCAATTCCGCAACGTCGCTGCTATATTTATATAGTTCATGGGCGTGAAATAAAAAGTGTACAGTGACGTATCATGAAAGGAAGGGGGGGGGGGGGGGGGGTTAAGCAAAATTGGTATTCTTAAATGTGCGTAACTTTAGTTCATGTTTTTGTCAAGTAACTTTGGTAGATGGAAAGTTCACGCATTGATGTCGCCAATGTTTGGCAGGCCATATCCACCCTCGCTTGCCAGCCATGCGCGCACCCCAACAAGCTCGCTGCGTATGCTACACCGCGGGTCGCCTATTATCTTTAATTTGATACCAAATTTTGTCTTACAAATTCAACAATAGTATTTTAATTATTTTTTAATAAATCCAACCTCTCACTCTTTTCCGGGTCTGAAGCCGGGTTTGATTAGCCGTAGCCTATGACATTGCCCTGTGTGCCTACTTTGAATTCTCCTATGAGGTTGCATGTTTGATATACACACACACACACACAAAACCCATTTAGAAGTCTCCCTGATTAAATTGCATTGTTTCTGGTAACATCTTAGCAAATCCATGGCCATTAAGCTACAGTTCATTGAAAAGCGAACGATGCTGTCTTTCATTAAAAGTTATGCATAAAGCAAAAGATTTTTAAAATCCCATTATTGGTTTTGAAAATGTTTCTCAGTTGTTTCAATCAATGACTAAAGAAAACCTTGATTCTAATTCAAAGTTCAGATGCAAGAAGTGCAGCCCAGACTGCCACTCCAGGATTGTTTTCATAATTAATTTGCTGATAATTGAATAAAAAGTTTGTTTTAAGCTAGTGAAATGTAATATGCTTATGCCAAAAATGTTGGCATATGACAAAAGATGGCTGCAGCTTAATGTTTTGTTGGAATATAATTTGTTGAATGGTTGTAGCATTTTATTAAGTATAGCCCTATATTAGTACCATATCTATAGCGCTATTGATTTATGGTAAAAAATAATAGTGTCCTCCAAACTTTTCTGTAACTTGTCCCAGTTATGTGTCATTGGCACACCTGTGAAGGCCTATCTCCTCTTCACAGTATTGATTTTCTCAGTAATAATGTCAGTTATCATAGTTTTGAAATGAAAATAATTGAATTAAATACTTTAAATAAATTCTATTGCCAATCAAACCGTGTCAGTGTCAAACAGCAAAGAATGAAAATTTAATAACTTGGTTTTTGGGCCGAAATAAATTATGGTAAAAATTACTGTAATTCAGTCCAAGCTGTTTCTATTAAGGGACTAAGTACTCTTGACATTTAATCCCTAGATTCTGATGAGTGATCTCCACCCACTTTGTCCTGTCACCAATTGCTATTAGAGTTAGCTTCTAGAGAGCTATTGGTAGTCCAGCCAATCAAATCAAACCAAAATCTGAGCTTTAAATACCCGCTTCCAATGAGGCTGACGAAGTATTGCCCCGCTCTTTTATTACTACTATTACTAGTTTATACTTTGTACTAGTGACAACACCTCCGCACTAACTATAATACTTATAAAATCTACAGTACTGTTTTAAAGTTTTAACACTATCTGTTGTAACCTTCCTCATGCTAAGAGCTGGCAATATTGCTATATAATTTATAATATATACCAAATATAGATTTAAGATAGATGTATGATACTGGGGGGAAGGGGATCATAGTCTGAAAAAATGTTACCCAGCTTCTTCTTTGTCAAGGCCAAAGTAAGATGTGGAGTAAAAATAAATAAAATTCAGCTGTAAACATTTTGTGTGTGCTAATTATTATGATTAAAATTATAAATTAAAATACAGGCCTAAATAATTACCATAAGAAGTTTTACTGCATACAAAGTGTGCATATTAAAATCAAAATCTTTTAACATTAGTTAAATGAACTAACTGTATAATAACGTGATTAGGCTTAACGATGATAAAATAAGCTTAGGCCAATCAATGTTTAGGAACTTGGTCACATGAACCCCCCCCCCCCTCCGCTTATGATTTTTTTTGATTTTCTGTTGTTGGCGGAAATGTCTACTGAGTGTTATTTACATAATTGAGCCCTCATTAACTTTAAAAGGCGTCGTGGTGTCGATATTTTTATTTACATAAAATAAGCTTAGGCCAATCAATGTTTAGGAACTTGGTCACATGAACCCCCCCCCCCCCTCCGCTTATGATTTTTTTTGATTTTCTGTTGTTGGGAGAAATGTCTACTGAGTGTTATTTACATAAATGAGCCCTCATTAACTTATAAAGGCGTCGTGGTGTCGATATTTTTATGTACAATTAAACAATTTCATTTTCATTGGGTATATTATATTGTGCAACTACAACACAAATTGGAACCACTATTTACTATTTATTTCGTAATGCTATGCAGAGTATACAGAATCAACGTTTTAAACTGCACATAATTTTGATGAAAACATAAGCAGTGATACATAAATAAAATAAAATATATACAAAGAAAGAAAAATAAGTGTATTATGTCTTGAAAATCCAATTGGAGTGAATTTATGAGACTAGACACAAACAACAAATTTTGTTGGCACATCTTTTTTTTTGTTGTCAATTTACATACTTGAGCGTGATTTCAGTGTTGTAATAAAAAATAAATTGGGACTACCAATAATTATTGCACTACTCACTACATTAATCTATCACCAATTGGTAGTTTTTTTTATAGTAAACGACCAATAGCCACATAGAAGCTAATGGTAGTGGAGTTTACTACCAATAGCCACAGCCATAAAAATTACTTGTGTTACAAATTAAAAAATGAAGACCCATTTATTGGGTGTTGCCGGGCAATACCGAAATGCCTACCACGACTAAGTGTTCATGTGCTAACCTAAACGGCTACAGTTAGCCTACATTTACATACGATAAATACAAAGTAAAGAAAATCGTAAATTTTAATAAACTAATAAAGAAATAAATACTATAAATAAAGAATATAAAGACAAAGATTCATCAATGGTTAACCCAATGAAAATTCAATTTACAGTTTCATCAAATAAAAATCCAAAATGACGTCAGATAGGTAAAAATCCAATTTACAAAATGAACAGATAATGACCCAGGCCCAGTCAAAATGGCAGTCAAATGGCCTAATAATTATTTAGTTTAGTATTTAGTACTTCGCCAAGCAAGGGACACTCCTAGTAAATTTGTATCGGAAATGGGCTTCGGCGCAATAGGATCCGAGTTTTTAATTTTTTCATGTGCATGTAATTTGAATAAATTAGGAGTCCTTTTGGCCCATAAATAAAATAATAAGGTTTGACTCCGCCCATTAACGTTAGGAGAAATGTTGAACTACATTTCCATTGAGTTAATTTGTTCATTATCTAAACTTTAAGTGAGGAAAATCGTATGTCAATATAAGGCATCTTTGCATTAAAAAATTCGGTCTAAATATTCAAAGTAGGTCTTTCATATTAAAAGTAGGCCTGCATAATTTGTTGAAGTGCACGTGTGCAAAATTTTATTGAGATAGCTCATGAAACATTTTCACAATTCTCCTCAACGTTGACCTCATTATGCAAAGGTTGCACAGGCCATTTTGGATTAGTGATCCCGTCCCCTTTTAAATGGCGGAAAATGCTGATACTTAGCTTAGGAAATATTCATAATTACCTCTATATACATCAAAATATTTGATAACTTGTGTTTCAGAATGCATTTTGAAGACATTTAAACTAGAATGTTTAAATTTGAGCTTTAAAAACCTGGTAGAGTTCATATTATTAACTATCAGAATTAACCGTGTGCAAAAAGTCATGGGAAACCATTCACAGCATTTTGTATAATTCTATACTGTAGTACTACCTCAAGTTTCCTTCATAAGAGTTTGCTGTGTGCAAAAACTATTACCATTGGCAGGTATTGGTCAGGGAAAGCTTTAGTCTTAGTAAATTAGTCATGTGCCAAAATTGGAAGTTCAAAATAAGTAGATCCCATACAATATTTTAGGGGGTGCGTTGCCTTATATAGACTATATAGCATATACCGGTATAATGGACGCTGTACATTTGGTAAACAGAAAAGCCATATATTATTTTAAATTTATTGTTACACGTAGTGCATAGTTAGATAAACTATAATTTATATATAATTGTATAACTTATTCAAATTATTTGTTAATACAGAATTAGTTCTAAAAATAAAAGTCGCATAAAATTATCATTAAAACGAGAGTAGATACTTCGATGAAACAAGGGAGACTACTATTTTTTTTGTATCGGAAATGGGCGTCGGCGCCGAAAAATCCGAGTTTTTAATTTACCGATGTGTGTGTCTATTTATTATTAAATTAGTTCTTTCCACATAAATTTGAGTTCCGTTTCCGGCCTTATAATTTGGAAGACATCTTGGCCTACATTTCTAGCCAGCTATTTTGCTTTTTTCAATCGACCTTTATTTTGAAAATCTTTGGTATATATAAGGCATCTTCGCATACAAAATTTTTTGTGAAATAATAAGATAAGGTCCTTTTTGATTAAATCTGTATGAGCATTAGATATTGATCTATATCTGTGCCAAGTTTCATTGATGTAGGTCGTGTCTCACGTTTGTTACACTTGTCACAGTGACCCATATCACCATAAAGTGGCTCAGCCTAATTTCGCCATGGCGTGGGCCACGCCCCCTTTTTAATGGCGGAAGTTGCCGATACTTAGGAAATATTTAATTATTACCACTATATACATCAAAATATTTTATATTTTGTGTTTCAGAATGCATTTTGAAGACATTTAAACTGGAAATGTTTTAATTTGAGCTTTAAAAACCCTGCAGAGTCCATATTATAAATGATCAGAATTTTCCCTGTGCAACACGTTGTCATTGGCAACCATTCACAGCCACTTGCATAACGGCTACGTCGTAGTACTATCTCAGAGTTTCATTCATAAGAGTTTGCCGTGTGCAAAAGCTATTAAACCATTGGTCAGGGAAAGCTTTTATTAATTATTCATGTGCCAAAGTTGAAAGTTTAAAATAAGTCGACCCTAAACAGTATTTTAGCGATAGGGAATGCGTTGCCTTATATAAACTATATAGGCATTGCGCATGACGCGATCAGTGGAATGAGGTCACAGAATGTGGAGATGCAGTCCATGTTAAAAAATGACAAACCAAGTCGTACTTTAAAAATTCATAACTTTAAAACTACAACAGCTAAAAATATGATTTTGGTGTTATAATTCTGTTTAAAATTAGCTCTATTCACCTGTGCCATTGGTTGATTTTTAAAAAAATGTTTACATTTTTGACCAAAGTATCTAACGAGAGTTATGTAGCTCGTGACGCAAACAGCGGATTTGGGTGACAGAATGTGGAGGTGCAGTCCATGCAATGATGCAATGAATGTTAAAAAAGGACCAACAATAACAATGACAATGTTATACTTTAAAATTCATAACTTTAAAACTACAACAGCTAAAAATATGATTTTGTTGTTATAATTCTTTAAAAATTAGCTCTATTCAACTATGCCATTGGTTTATTTTTACAAAAAGTTTTAATTTTCTTATTAAAGTACCTATATTATATAATATATTCTTATATTTAGGAAATTTTTGTATTTTTTATGATTACTTACCCATCAGGCCCATCATCATATTTATTTGATGCAAACCCACACGACAGTATACGAGAAAAGGGTCTCGTATTTGTCTCAATAAGTCGTAATGCTGTCCGATTGCGACATAAATTTACAAATATGTGTTTAACGCAATACATTTTTTTGTTGAATTTAGATGCTAAGAAGCTTTAAGGTTGTTTCCAAGTTCAAAGCATGGCAAGTAACTCTCTTGCTGGTAAAGGTAAAAATGAGTAAATAATTCTATCGAGACGGTCAAATAGCCTTCTGATTCACAAAAACTGTTCAGTGGTATGGAGTTGCTGAATTTTTTTATTTTTACGGAACCCCTACCCTAAAATTTTTCGAAGTGGATGCGTACACCGCGGCGGTGTACCTACGAAACCATCGGCTTTGGCCTGCGTAAACCGCGGCGGTGTACCTAGTGAAATCGTGGGCTTAGGCCTGGGGACACCGCGGCAAAAATGTACCATTGGCCTGGTTTTAAGATATGCGTGTTAGAAAAGATCTTGTGTGGTCAAGTGGTAGAGTGGACGCTTGGCGGTAATATAGTTTGAGATCAATTCCCAGTAGGGGATCGAGTTGTTTTTCCTCCCATTTTAGTTTTATAATATTTTGTAACAATTTAAATATATGTATACATATTATATTTAATACACAATATAAATATAAGTGTTTCAACAAGTTGTGCCAGCCTTTGACTTTGAAAATACCGGTAAATTTAGTAATAAGACTTTAGACATTTGAAAACAAACTTAACGTTTCTGAAAGCACATATATAGTGTATGTAGCATGTATAAGAGAAACATTATGAATACTAAGTGACTAAGTGATATTCTATTATATTTCAACATTCTTCATGTAGTTGAATATTTAAATTTTACTTTTACGAACACCCAAAGAAAATACCAGTATGAATAATATTCATACCATATGAATATTAATGTCATTAATGTGCATGGTCGTATTTCAACCTTGAACCATCTGGCTGTCACTATGCCTTATGCATTGGCAAAATGTACATACGGTATCAAAGGTTCATTCACAACACTCAGTCTCACAGTCAATCTTTTGAAAACACCTCGATTTTAGAAACTTACAGAGCGCTAGCAAACTGTATAGCAAAGCCATAGGTCTGCGTTTATCCTTTTCATGGCGGAATTTGTTTCCAGAATGGCATGGCATGTGCTATTCTCAGGGTAAAACACGACGTTTTCTCACAGAAACCATTGCACAATGGGCTCGGGACAGGATTTGTGCTATGTCAAAGTTTTTGTATTTGTTGTTTTTTTGTTTTGTTAAGAAATCGATCCTTTCCGGGGGTGGGGGTGGTGGTGAGTTATGGGCAGAGGCTTAACCAAAAAGGGGGCATTCACAAATCACGGCTCTGGATAGGGGTTGACCACAAAGGACGCCCGCACAACAAACTTACCATTTGCATCCCCCCCCCCCTTTTCCGCCGGGATTTTTTACTAATGTGTAATGCCAATGTAAAACTAAATCAATGATATTTAATTATTGTTAAAAGACTTTTAACAATCACTGCAGTGTTTCGTATTTATCATCATACTGTTGTTTTGTGTTGACACATGCTTGGTATCACAATGACAATGCCTCAGACAACATTAACTTCACGACTTCATGATCAATGTATGAGTAAGTGATTCTCTTCCCGTAGTGTATTTGTGGCGTAATTATATCTTGGTGCTAACAAAATAGATTCACTGGCTTCCCATTCATTTTTACGCCACGTCCCGAGGGATCACATACAATGTTAAATTAAAAAAACCCCCCCCCCCCCAAAAAAAAAAAAAAAAAAAAAAAAAAAAAACAACAACAACTGGGTTGGGGGGGGGGCATGAGAGAATGATTTAAAATTAGCTACCCTTTTTATGCCTATTAAGATTCACAATCATATGATAAAACTTACACCAATTAATAAATATATTTTTATTTCAATATATTGGGGGAGGGGGGAATAAAGTGGTTAACTTTAAAAATAAATCATGGTTTAGCATTACACCTCAGCCCCCTCCCTTCCAAAAAAATAATAAGAAATTTTTAATGCTTTACATGTACTTTGCCACATAAGCGTGGAACTTACTCAATATCTTCCCAAGGTACTAAACGAATTTTAAATACATAGTTTTCAGTTTTAACACGAGTATAACATTAAATCTATAAGTACCGGTTAGGCCAAGAAGTTAAAGACTAGCAAAGACCATAGTTTTGCTACTTTAAATCGATGCGGTGTACGCAGGCCACAGACCATGATTTAGCTAGGTACACCGCCGCTGTGTACGCAGGCCAAAGTCAATAGTTTCGCTAGGTACACCGCCGCGGTGTACGCAGTGCCGGCCAAAATTTTTGTGTAGTCATGATGAATATTTTTTTTTGCAATTTTTGTCACAGTTCTCTAATATTTATATTCATTCATTCAGTTACCTATTAATTTTATTCTTAACAAAATAAGTGAATGACTGTTCTTTTATCATTAAATATATAAAATAAGATTTGAAAAAATGTACACCATTGTTACACAAGTTGACCTCATTGTTTTGAGTCATTAACAGAAGATTTTAGTTTTTAGTGTACACCACTTTCTTAGTGTTTGGAAACATGGCGGGCGTATGCTCGTCGCCGCTTTGGGTTTGTATAATAATTTATTTACAAACTCTACCTGTACCATCTTCATTGATCGTTCGCGAGGGTTACCGTATTGATTATTTTGCCTTTGATTTGCAGCCATGCTTATGAATGATTTTTTTATTGATAAACTGCAGTCTGAGAATTAATGTTCAAACTACAATTTACAATAATTTACATTCTTTTTTCTTATTATATTTAATTTTAATTGTTAACTTTATTTTAGACTACATATAATAATAATAAGATATAAAATAAATATAATGAGTATGAACGGAGAAGAGACTAAGAGGTCAGAAGAATTCTTAATTCTATGGCCAGCACTACGTACACCGCGGTGGTGTACCTAGCGAAACTATTGACTTTTGTCTTTGGCCTGCCTACACCGCGGCTGGCGGTGTACCTAGCTAAATCATGGTCTGTGGCCTGCGTACACCGCAGCGATTTAAAGTAGCAAAACCATGGTCTTTGCTAGTCCTTAACTTTTTGGCCTAACTGGTACTTGTAGATTTAATGTTATACTCTTGTTAAAACTGAAAACTATTTATTTAAAATTCGTTTAGTACCTTGGGAAGATATTGAGTAAGTTCCACGCTTATGTGAATTATGTGGCAAAGTACTTGTCAATTGTAAAGCATTTCTTATTATTTATTGGAAGGGAGGGGGCTGGGGCTGTAATGTTAAACCATGATTTTTTTAAAAAGTTAACCACTTTATCCCC